ATATAGATATAGATAAATCTAATAACCTATTTTTTTCCTTTTATGTTTGATTTTTAATTAATTTAAAACTATATAGTAAACAAATAATTATATTCCATATGAAGGATATCAAATTTAAAAATAATTAAAATATTACTAATAATATTTATTTCATGCTTTAATTATTCATTAAATATAATTAAAAACATTAAATTTAACTAAATCAAAAGATCATTATATAATCAAAGTTTTATTAGGATATTGTGTGTTCATATATATATATATATATATATATATATATATATATATATATATATATATATATATTTGTGTTTGGAAGAGCTTTATATTATAATTTTTTTATAAAATATAAGAATAAGAATGAATAAACTTTATATAAAATGAAATTGAATAATAAAAGTTGAAAGTTAAATTTAGAGAAATATATAAAAGATATAATTAATATATAAAAATTCTTAAAAATATTATGAAGATATTAATGTAAACAACTTCATAGAAGCTTGTGGACAAACTAGTATTGTCTTTCAATTGAAAGTCTCAAATTATATCTCACATGCAAATTATTCAACATTGTAGATTGCTTGCATCTTATCAGATTGTCGTCAAATTCTGCAGCAGGCAGAGTACTCACCTCCACAGTCAGAAGAAAATAAATTCAAAATAGTATTTATTCATGGCTCATGAGTTAATCATATAAAAACCATATCAAAAATTTTGAAAGTATAAATTTTTTAATATATTTTTTTTCACTTTTTGATTAGTTAATTTATTTATTTGTGTAATTAAACTCCAAATCACAGTAACTCCAAAAGAGCAACCTTGAACTGAGGAACATAGCAGTGAAGGAAATCTGTGTATAAAAAGATAAGGGATCTTGTCTTTCGCACTGCATTTGAAGTGAATAAACAAACACAATGGATAGAAGAAGGTTTGCCTATAAAGTGCTGGTGGCTTTGTTGCCCCTTTTGCTCTGCTCCTTGAGTTGTGTCAATGCTTCATCATCAGACCCAGCACAACTCCATGACCATGTGGAGCAACACAAGAGGAATCTTCTTGCTAATGGCCTTGCTAGAACTCCTCCAATGGGGTATGTCTGTGATTTGTGTTCAGAAACATAAAGTTTCTTCTTTGTGTGAGAATGAGTGCTTTTTTTTTTTCACTTGCACTGAGTCTCTCAATTTCCCTGTTCATCTTGCAACACTCCTCAACCGACTGTCGGTTTATGTTGTGAACAGCCCTGGCAAGAATCTTGGGAGAACAATTTTTTTTTCTTGTACCTCAAATAAGTTGTTGCAACTACACTTAGCCCATTCTTGTCTGATTCCAAGTTTGTCCATAAAAAAATTTATCATACTGAGATGTTATTACTTACAACAGTTCCTTTTAGTGCAGGTGGAACAGTTGGAATCATTTTAGCTGTCAAATTAACGAAAAAATCATCAGGGAAACTGGTATTTGGCCCTTTGTGTGTGTGCTGTGTGAATTTTGTATCTATCTATTATCATCAGTTTATGATTATATATAGAATTATGTGTGCATCTGAGAAATTAGCTTTTGACTTTTAATTTAGTTTTTTAGAAAAGATTCACTTGGTTGAGAATTTAGCCTGATTGTGATTTTTTTACATGGGTTTACAGCTGATGCCCTTGTTTCTACTGGTCTTTCTAAGCTTGGATACACATATGTCAATATAGGTATATGGAAACATCTGTTTTTTCAAGTTTCTTCTTCTTATTAATTAATTAATATTGTGCTTCTTTACTTTGCAAAATGTCATAAGCACATGCAGTCAAACTTAATCCACAATTTTCTATTATTGCAGATGATTGTTGGGCTGAATTAAACCGGGATGCTCATGTACGGTTTTTCTGGTTTTTATATGCTCCATTGCATTTCAGTTTCTTACTGCTTACCTGAAAGTTCTCACATTCAATTAATTTTTGTTTTTCGAACGTTTACATAGGCTATTGATGTCTGTTGTATTGTTATAGGGTAATCTGGTAGCAAAAAAATCAACATTTCCTTCTGGAATCAAAGCTCTTGCAGATTATGTTCACAGCAAAGGTCTTAAACTTGGAATTTATTCAGATGCTGGGTACATAGACTTAAGTAAACAACTAACCAATTTAGTCCCATGTACTTCTTTGTTACATTCTTAACTAAGCTTTAGATTGGTCAATTTTGCAGGTATTTTACTTGTAGCAAACAGATGCCTGGTTCTCTTGGTCATGAGTTTCAAGATGCCAAGACTTTTGCGTCATGGGTATTGCACATTGTGCTCGTTTCTTCTTCTTTTTCCTTGGAATAATCGCATTCAGTGCAAGTAAACAAACGGTTGTGTTGGTTTATCTACAGGGTATTGATTATTTGAAGTATGATAACTGTAACAATGATGAATCAAAACCAACTGATAGGTAGTCATGCGTGTTAGTGTTATATTTTAACTGATCGAAGTGAATATTAGCATTCCACTTTTTTAGTTCTATATAGTTTTGAAAACTATGGTCTTCATATGACTAGATACCCTGTTATGACTCGGGCTTTATCAATGGCTGGTCGTCCAATCTTCTTCTCACTATGTGAATGGTAATTTTATCTGTTTTAGTAACTTATTGCTCCTCCAATTTCATGTTCTTCACTCTAATCATTGATGGTGTGTTTGTTAGGGGAGACTTGCACCCTGCTTTATGGGGTGCTAAAGTTGGAAACAGCTGGAGAACTACCAATGACATTAATGATTCATGGGAAAGGTGAAAATTGTGTTTTGAATTAGTTAGTACAAATGGGAGAAAGTTCTATAGCCATCAAACTCCTATTCTATTTTTCTTTCATCTAAAACAATAGTTTCATTGTTAATCAGAGTAATAATCTCACTCAACTGGTTGAACAGTCTTTAGTTGTTTAAGCTCTCATGGAACCTGTGTTCAATTCAACTCCTATAAATACGAAAAAACTGATAATTTACCACTGTACAATCAAATCAACTGGTGCAGAGTTATTGAATTATTATGGATCTGTAGCTAATAAAAGTTACCTAACATTGTCTTTGGCAGCATGATTTCAAAGGCAGACATGAACGAAGTTTATGCTGAATATGCAAGACCTGGTGGTTGGAATGGTTAGAATCTCATTAACCTTGTGCTTTCTGGGAAGATATTTTATCCAATTGAGAATCATGATATCCATTGAACATGTGAACTCAACAGATCCTGACATGCTTGAGGTGGGAAATGGAGGGATGACAAAAAATGAATATATTGTTCACTTCAGTTTATGGGCCCTTTCCAAGGTAGTACTATGATTCTTGTGTCTTCAAATACACTGATTTATGCAAAAACATGTACAAGGCCTTCTTTTGTTGCAGGCTCCTCTTCTTCTTGGCTGTGATGTTAGAAATATGACCAAAGACACTGTTGACATTGTAACAAATAAGGAAGTTATTGCAGTTAACCAAGGTGATACAAATAGTTTCTGTACTGATTTTTTTTTTACACAGTAATCCATAAAAAACTGTCATATGATCTTCAAAAAAAGTCACAGCTACCATGATTTCTAATTGGTTGACAGTCTAAAACCGTTTTCATTGTCTAGAAACCTTTCACACTGTAAAAGTCGGTAACTTTGTAAGTTTAAATCAGACTCATTTCTTATTCATTATAGCAAGGTTTTGTTATTAATATTTATATCAAACAATCGCAGATTCACTTGGTGTGCAAGGTAAGAAGGTTAGGATGGAAGGTGATATTGAGGTAAGTAGAATTTGGAACACAGCACGTGATTTTTGTATCTATTTTCATACGAACAATAAATCATCATGCATGAGCTTTTATGCAGATTTGGGCAGGTCCTCTTTCAAGGTACAGGGTGGCTGTTGTCTTGCTAAATCGTGGCCCTTGGAATATTTCCATTACAGCATATTGGGATGATATTGGTATTCCATCAAAAAGTGCTGTTGAAGCAAGAGACCTTTGGGAGGTACTGTGTTTGTATGCATTCAATCTTTTGTTTTTTGTATGCATGCTTTTGTTTTCATCTCAGTTCTGTTGGTACTACTGATGCTATGAATTAGCTGCTACAATGCATGCTTTGTTTTGTATCACAACTCTGTTGATACTGATGCTGTGACTTATCTGGTACAATGCATGCAGCACAAGACACTGGTGGGACGCTTTAAGGAAAAATTGACTGCCCAAGTTGAGCCACATGCGTGTAAAATGTACGTGCTGAATCCAGTTGCTTGAGTTCTGAAACAGATTTTGGTATTGCAGCTTGTGGTGTCTGTCAATATTGTTTTTCTTACTGAGTTTCACTTCAATAAACATTTTCTTGTGCTTCTGTTCATAGAAGCTTGCTACGTTGCTTAGTGTACAAAGCTGCTCAATGGAAGCAGTCACTCAGATGATAATAAAACTGTTGACATGCAGAATCATTCCAGCATTGCCAAATTNATATATATATATATATATATATATATTTGTGTTTGGAAGAGCTTTATATTATAATTTTTTTATAAAATATAAGAATAAGAATGAATAAACTTTATATAAAATGAAATTGAATAATAAAAGTTGAAAGTTAAATTTAGAGAAATATATAAAAGATATAATTAATATATAAAAATTCTTAAAAATATTATGAAGATATTAATGTAAACAACTTCATAGAAGCTTGTGGACAAACTAGTATTGTCTTTCAATTGAAAGTCTCAAATTATATCTCACATGCAAATTATTCAACATTGTAGATTGCTTGCATCTTATCAGATTGTCGTCAAATTCTGCAGCAGGCAGAGTACTCACCTCCACAGTCAGAAGAAAATAAATTCAAAATAGTATTTATTCATGGCTCATGAGTTAATCATATAAAAACCATATCAAAAATTTTGAAAGTATAAATTTTTTAATATATTTTTTTTCACTTTTTGATTAGTTAATTTATTTATTTGTGTAATTAAACTCCAAATCACAGTAACTCCAAAAGAGCAACCTTGAACTGAGGAACATAGCAGTGAAGGAAATCTGTGTATAAAAAGATAAGGGATCTTGTCTTTCGCACTGCATTTGAAGTGAATAAACAAACACAATGGATAGAAGAAGGTTTGCCTATAAAGTGCTGGTGGCTTTGTTGCCCCTTTTGCTCTGCTCCTTGAGTTGTGTCAATGCTTCATCATCAGACCCAGCACAACTCCATGACCATGTGGAGCAACACAAGAGGAATCTTCTTGCTAATGGCCTTGCTAGAACTCCTCCAATGGGGTATGTCTGTGATTTGTGTTCAGAAACATAAAGTTTCTTCTTTGTGTGAGAATGAGTGCTTTTTTTTTTTCACTTGCACTGAGTCTCTCAATTTCCCTGTTCATCTTGCAACACTCCTCAACCGACTGTCGGTTTATGTTGTGAACAGCCCTGGCAAGAATCTTGGGAGAACAATTTTTTTTTCTTGTACCTCAAATAAGTTGTTGCAACTACACTTAGCCCATTCTTGTCTGATTCCAAGTTTGTCCATAAAAAAATTTATCATACTGAGATGTTATTACTTACAACAGTTCCTTTTAGTGCAGGTGGAACAGTTGGAATCATTTTAGCTGTCAAATTAACGAAAAAATCATCAGGGAAACTGGTATTTGGCCCTTTGTGTGTGTGCTGTGTGAATTTTGTATCTATCTATTATCATCAGTTTATGATTATATATAGAATTATGTGTGCATCTGAGAAATTAGCTTTTGACTTTTAATTTAGTTTTTTAGAAAAGATTCACTTGGTTGAGAATTTAGCCTGATTGTGATTTTTTTACATGGGTTTACAGCTGATGCCCTTGTTTCTACTGGTCTTTCTAAGCTTGGATACACATATGTCAATATAGGTATATGGAAACATCTGTTTTTTCAAGTTTCTTCTTCTTATTAATTAATTAATATTGTGCTTCTTTACTTTGCAAAATGTCATAAGCACATGCAGTCAAACTTAATCCACAATTTTCTATTATTGCAGATGATTGTTGGGCTGAATTAAACCGGGATGCTCATGTACGGTTTTTCTGGTTTTTATATGCTCCATTGCATTTCAGTTTCTTACTGCTTACCTGAAAGTTCTCACATTCAATTAATTTTTGTTTTTCGAACGTTTACATAGGCTATTGATGTCTGTTGTATTGTTATAGGGTAATCTGGTAGCAAAAAAATCAACATTTCCTTCTGGAATCAAAGCTCTTGCAGATTATGTTCACAGCAAAGGTCTTAAACTTGGAATTTATTCAGATGCTGGGTAACTTAACTAAACAACTAACCAATTTAGTCCCATGTACTTCTTTGTAACATTCTTAACTAAGCTTTAGATTGGTCAATTTTGCAGGTATTTTACTTGTAGCAAACAGATGCCTGGTTCTCTTGGTCATGAGTTTCAAGATGCCAAGACTTTTGCGTCATGGGTATTGCACATTGTGCTCGTTTCTTCTTCTTTTTCCTTGGAATAATCGCATTCAGTGCAAGTAAACAAACGGTTGTGTTGGTTTATCTACAGGGTATTGATTATTTGAAGTATGATAACTGTAACAATGATGAATCAAAACCAACTGATAGGTAGTCATGCGTGTTAGTGTTATATTTTAACTGATCGAAGTGAATATTAGCATTCCACTTTTTTAGTTCTATATAGTTTTGAAAACTATGGTCTTCATATGACTAGATACCCTGTTATGACTCGGGCTTTATCAATGGCTGGTCGTCCAATCTTCTTCTCACTATGTGAATGGTAATTTTATCTGTTTTAGTAACTTATTACTCATCCAATTTATGTTCTTCACTCTAATCATAGATGGTGTGTTTGTTAGGGGAGACTTGCACCCTGCTTTATGGGGTGCTAAAGTTGGAAACAGCTGGAGAACTACCAATGACATTAATGATTCATGGGAAAGGTGAAAATTGTGCTTTGAATAAGTTAGTACAAATGGGACAAAGTTCTATAGCCATCAAACTCCTATTCTATTTTCTTTCATCTAAAACAATAGTTTCATTGTTAATCAGAGTAATAATCTCACTCAACTGGTTGAACAGTCTTTAGTTGTTTAAGCTCTCATGGAACCTGTGTTCAATTCAACTCCTATAAATACGAAAAAACTGATAATATACCACTGTACAATCAAATCAACTGGTGCAGAGTTATTGAATTAATATGGATCTGTAGCTAATAAAAGTTACCTAACATTGTCTTTGGCAGCATGATTTCAAAGGCAGACATGAACGAAGTTTATGCTGAATATGCAAGACCTGGTGGTTGGAATGGTTAGAATCTCATTAACCTTGTGCTTTCTGGGAAGATATTTTATCCAATTGAGAATCATGATATCCATTGAACATGTGAACTCAACAGATCCTGACATGCTTGAGGTGGGAAATGGAGGGATGACAAAAAATGAATATATTGTTCACTTCAGTTTATGGGCCCTTTCCAAGGTAGTACTATGATTCTTGTGTCTTCAAATACACTGATTTATGCAAAAACATGTACAAGGCCTTCTTTTGTTGCAGGCTCCTCTTCTTCTTGGCTGTGATGTTAGAAATATGACCAAAGACACTGTTGACATTGTAACAAATAAGGAAGTTATTGCAGTTAACCAAGGTGATACAAATAGTTTCTGTACTGATTTTTTTTTTACACAGTAATCCATAAAAAACTGTCATATGATCTTCAAAAAAAGTCACAGCTACCATGATTTCTAATTGGTTGACAGTCTAAAACCGTTTTCATTGTCTAGAAACCTTTCACACTGTAAAAGTCGGTAACTTTGTAAGTTTAAATCAGACTCATTTCTTATTCATTATAGCAAGGTTTTGTTATTAATATTTATATCAAACAATCGCAGATTCACTTGGTGTGCAAGGTAAGAAGGTTAGGATGGAAGGTGATATTGAGGTAAGTAGAATTTGGAACACAGCACGTGATTTTTGTATCTATTTTCATACGAACAATAAATCATCATGCATGAGCTTTTATGCAGATTTGGGCAGGTCCTCTTTCAAGGTACAGGGTGGCTGTTGTCTTGCTAAATCGTGGCCCTTGGAATATTTCCATTACAGCATATTGGGATGATATTGGTATTCCATCAAAAAGTGCTGTTGAAGCAAGAGACCTTTGGGAGGTACTGTGTTTGTATGCATTCAATCTTTTGTTTTCATCTCAGTTCTGTTGGTACTACTGATGCTATGAATTAGCTGCTACAGTGCATGCTTTGTTTTGTATCACAACTCTGTTGATACTGATGCTGTGAGTTATCTGGTACAATGCATGCAGCACAAGACACTGGTGGGACGCTTTAAGGAAAAATTGACTGCCCAAGTTGAGCCACATGCGTGTAAAATGTACGTGCTGAATCCAGTTGCTTGAGTTCTGAAACAGATTTTGGTATTGCAGCTTGTGGTGTCTGTCAATATTGTTTTTCTTACTGAGTTTCACTTCAATAAACATTTTCTTGTGCTTCTGTTCATAGAAGCTTGCTACGTTGCTTAGTGTACAAAGCTGCTCAATGGAAGCAGTCACTCAGATGATAATAAAACTGTTGACATGCAGAATCATTCCAGCATTGCCAAATTTAAACATAATCTCTTAAAATGTTGTTTGATATGTTACAAGTATTTAATTCAGTTAAACTAAAAGGATTATATTTATTTACTTTAAATTTGTTAACTAAACAGGATCAAAGTATGTGATAAATTTTAATTTCATATCAAATTTTAAAGACTAAACATATATTTAATCATATTTTATTTAAAGATTAAAAATATATTTATTTTATAAGTTAATTTTATAAAATTAAATTAAATTTAAAATTCACTTTAATATAATACTAAAATCATTTAAAAGTCTATTTTATCAGTGTTTGAGTTATGGTGTTTAGATTGGAGTATATAAGATCTGAAGTTCATATTCCAAATCAGTTAGACTTATTATTAATTTTTAGAACAGAAAATTAATTTAAATGCAAATTTAAATCTAATTCATTATTTTAAAATCAATTCTAGCTTACTTTCAACCAAATATGGTAATATGTTATTTTCCTGAGTGAGTAAACAAAATAAAGTAGATTATGTCTTTTTGTTAATTAATAAAAGGCCGTTTCTGATAGGTACCCAAGAGCTGTCATGGTCATATTGCTATTGTCTCTGTCAGTAATTTGAGATTAAGGACTTCTAAATGTCTCAACATATCTGTCATTTCCATGTTAGATACTCTTCCTAGCAACAATTATTCTGAGCAATTAATTAAGCATAAGAAAGTGACCTGAGAAGTATGAAAACGCGTTTTTGCAAGTTGGAAGCTCATATCTGTCATCCAATCATCACAGCTTTTGAATTTCTGCTTTCCTGCAGAGTTGGAACACCCAAGTGGGTGGTTTACAGCCAAACAACCATGGACATTCTGTGCATTATTATAAAAAAAAAATTATTAATTCAAAAACTTGATTTTAGGAAAGTATTCTTCTAATAGAATTACAGTTTTCTCTTAATAGCTCGTGTAATAAAAATCGTAGTAAAATTAGTTATAATTGCCATGAGTAGCATTTCCATTTTAATTAAAGGTCACACAAAAATTGTGTTTATAAACCGAATAGTTAATTATAATTTAGATTATTTAACGATGTTTAGAAAGCAAACTGGTCAGTCATGAATTAGATTACATTAATTTTAATTTCTAATAGGTAAAGTCTATTTGCAATTGGGATAATTAGTTTGATTCAACACTTAAACTTTAAAACATCTTTAAAATTTTAAATGAAAAAACACCGCTTAAACCGTTGACATTGTACTTATAACAGAAACAATATACGCTAATAATTAATACAACATTATTTAACTTACAAATCATCCTCAGTTATGGATAAAATATTTTTACGGTCCACCACACTAACCTATCCAAAGGCTCTTCTGAGAAATTCTCAAACAAGAATCATTCTAAATCTTCAAGACCATCTTCACATAGTGTAAGCATTCAATGTATCTATGTTCTGTTATATTATTGTATTAATTATTTTTTATTCAAATTTAAACATTATTATTTTTAGTTAATAAATTATAAATACCATAAATTAGTAAGAAAATTTCTCAAAAAGATCGGAAGAGGATGTTATATTAACACAAGAATTACTTAGATAAAATATAATTAAGTGAAAAATAGATAATGTATCCCAATTATTTTAAAGTTAATTTTAAAAGGAAAATATAACACAGAAACCAACAACGAATTCAATTTTGACGTTACTAATTAAATTGAATATTTTTTTATGAATATAAATTAATAAAATAATTTTATATATAAGAACGGATGTAATGCTTATAAAATACTGAATATTTTTTATTTAATGTTTTTGTTTTCAGATGATCGATTTGTCTTAGTACATATTACTAGTTAAATAATAAATAAAAGTTATACATATTAAGGAAATGACCGAAAGTTATCGGTTTATTAATTAATTTCAGTTTTGTTTGTGAAATGTTTTTTTTTCCTATTACAGGTAGGTGTTGTATTTAATGTAGTTTCCAGTCATTGTTGCACTTTCTCACTCCATTTCCCTCTTCCACCATTTTCTCTCTGCTCCTTCCAGCTGCAACCAACTGCCAAATACATTCCAATTCAACTCTCAAAACTCGGGATTGTCCCGCTTTGACTCACCGAGTTGCTTTTCAGCTCCTCTTCCCATGGCATAAGGTAAAATACCTTCTTTCTCAAACTTCAGTTTTCTTCAATATTCAAACCACGTTCACCCGTATTAGTGATTTTCCCTCACCTTTCATTGTCCATCCTGTTGTTCACTGAAAACCTAGTTCGCCATCCCCCCTCTGCATTTTGCCGATTTTAGAAAATCTGGGTCCAAGCTGAGCTGATCATAATCCCTCACCCCACTTCCCTTTTCTGATCTGGGTTCCTAGAATATAAGATCTTCGCATCAAAGTTGTGGTCTTTCATTGTTTTAAATTCTGGGTATGAGTGAATTGTAGTTCCCTGCAAGAGGTGTTGGCAGTTGTATGGTACAAGACAAAGCATTTTGAGTTTGAGTTTGAGTTTGGGTTTGGAATTTTGTGTCGGGATGTGGAGCATGGATCGGTACTGTGTTTGTGTTCCATTGTTCGTGTGCTTGGTATTGGCTATTGAGCTTGTTGTAGCACAGGATTTTAAGCCTACAGATAATATCCTGCTGGATTGTGGAGGTCCTCCATCCAGTACTGATACCGATGACCGTGTATGGACCACTGATGTTGGTTCCAAGTTTGGTTCCTCCTCTGAAAAATCCACCACCGTATCGCAGGCGGCAACTCAAGACCCTGCCGTCCCCCAGGTGCCCTACATGACAGCACGTGTGTTCCACGCGCCGTTTACCTATGCTTTCCCGGTGGCTTCCGGTTGGAAGTTCCTCCGGCTGCACTTTTACCCGGCTTCTTACTCTAATCTCAATGCATCTGATGCCCTTTTTGCGGTGACGGCGAATTCATACACGCTTCTTAGGAACTTTAGTGTTGCTCAGACCACCCTGGCTTTGAATTATGCCNGTGATGTGGAGCATGGATCGGTACTGTGTTTGTGTTCCATTGTTCGTGTGCTTGGTATTGGCTATTGAGCTTGTTGTAGCACAGGATTTTAAGCCTACAGATAATATCCTGCTGGATTGTGGAGGTCCTCCATCCAGTACTGATACCGATGACCGTGTATGGACCACTGATGTTGGTTCCAAGTTTGGTTCCTCCTCTGAAAAATCCACCACCGTATCGCAGGCGGCAACTCAAGACCCTGCCGTCCCCCAGGTGCCCTACATGACGGCACGTGTGTTCCATGCCCCGTTTTCCTATGCTTTCCCGGTGGCTTCCGGTTGGAAGTTCCTCCGGCTGCACTTTTACTCCGCTTCTTACTCCAATCTCAATGCATCTGATGCCCTTTTTGCGGTGACGGCGAATTCATACACGCTTCTTAGGAACTTTAGTGTTGCTCAGACCACCCTTGCTTTGAATTATGCCTACATTTTGAAGGAATTTGCCATCCATGTAGATGGGAAGACCTTGAATGTGACTTTCACTCCTTCTACCAATGCATCCAATGCTTACGCGTTTGTCAATGGGATCGAGGTTGTGTCCATGCCTGATATTTATACTTCTACTGATGGAACTACCATGATAGTGGGTACAAATACTGCTTACACTATTGATAACAGCACTGCACTTGAGAATGTTTATAGGTTGAACGTGGGTGGGAATGATATCTCTCCCTCCCGTGATACTGGTATGTTTAGGTCATGGTCTGATGATGTTCCCTTCCTCTTTGGCGCTGCATTTGGAGTTACAGAGCCTGCTGATTCAAATGTGAAGTTTGAGTATCCTCCGGACACACCAAGTTATATTGCCCCACTTGATGTCTATACTACGGCCAGATCAATGGGCCCGAATCCGGAGATCAACACGAATTACAACTTGACTTGGATCTTCAACATTGATTCGGGGTTTTCCTATCTAGTGAGACTTCATTTTGCTGAGGTATCATCAAATATAACCAAGATTAATCAAAGAGTATTTGATATATTCCTCAATAATCAAACAGCTACTCCCCAGGCTGATGTTATTGCCTGGGCAAAAGATTCTGGCCTTTCACATTCTAATGGGGTGCCTGTGCATAAAGATTATGTTGTCTTTATACCCGATGCTAGAGAACCACGGCAGGACCTGTGGCTTGCATTGCATCCAGATCCAACTGACAAGCCCATGTATTATGATGCTATATTGAATGGAGTGGAGATATTCAAAATTAGTGATACTGCTGGAAATCTGGCAGGGACAAATCCTATTCCTGCCCCTGTGCAAGATATAATTGACCCGTCAAAAGCTAGAGCACATAATCATGGTAAATCAAAGAATCATACAGGTATAATTGCAGGAGGTGTTGTTGGAGGTGTTGTTGCAGTACTTGTTATTGGGCTATTTGCTTTTTCTGCTTCGCGTCGCCATAGGCAAGGAAAGGATTATGGTGCAAGTGAAGGGCCATCTGGCTGGCTTCCACTTTCTCTTTATGGTGGTACCTCACACTCTGCAGCTTCTGCCAAGACCAACACAACAGGAAGTTATGCTTCCTCTCTCCCATCAAACCTTTGTCGTCATTTCTCATTTGCTGAAATCAAGTCGGCCACAAACAACTTTGATGAGGCTTTGCTTCTTGGTGTTGGAGGATTCGGTAAGGTTTACAAGGGAGAAATTGATGGTGGAACAACCAAAGTTGCAATTAAACGTGGGAATCCACTTTCTGAGCAGGGGGTGCATGAGTTCCAAACTGAGATTGAAATGCTCTCTAAACTTCGTCACCGCCACCTTGTTTCTCTGATTGGATACTGTGAAGAAAACACTGAAATGATCCTCGTTTATGATCATATGGCCTATGGAACACTCAGGGAGCATTTGTACAAGACCCAGAAACCTCCACTTCCATGGAAGCAAAGGCTTGAGATATGCATTGGAGCTGCTCGGGGTTTACACTATCTACACACTGGAGCTAAACACACAATCATCCACCGTGATGTGAAGACAACAAACATTTTACTGGATGAGAAATGGGTGGCCAAG